TTTTTTTTTTTTTTTTTTTTTTTTTTTTGCAGCACCGGGGATTGAACTTACAAGGACCTTGCACTTACAAGACAGGTGTAGTGCCACTGAGCTAAATCCCCTGCCCTGAGATAGGATCTTGTTATATAGTTCAGGCTGGCTCTTAATTCACTATGTAACTCAGGCTGGCCTCAAACTTGCAGCAATCCTCATGCGTCAGCTTCCCAAGTGCTAGGATTACAGGTGTGTGCCACCATGCCTAGCCTCCAGATGTTTTTTTTGAATAAACTGACCTTTTTCCTTAAAGATATTTATAAATAAACTTTATATTATCAGAAATAAAAATCAGTATAACTTTAAATAGAAAATGACATGCATACAGTTAAAAGCCACTTGGTCATTTATCTGTCCCCTACGTGTCACCTGTGTTCTCCTTTGGGACACCCTGCTCCAGAATCTGCATGCGTGTCTGGAGACCTGGACCTCTTGGCCAGAGAAATGGCCCTCAAACATGGCAGAGGGTTGTTCTGGGACAGAGCAGGTCAGGGCCGTCTTGCCCTTTTGTGAGCTTCGTGAGACTGTGGGCCTCCTTTGTGACAGAAGAGCCATTCTGATCCTGTGGCTCCTTCTGAAGGCCCCTCCTTGGCCCTCTTTTCATCCTACCATGGAGCTGCTTACACCATTTAGAAGAATCAGCACATGACTTCATTTTATTGATAAACACTGCATATTATAGCAGTTTTCTTTCCTTTACATTTTAATGAAAACTGTTTATATTATCATCATTGTCCCCACTGTTAACATTTTTGTAGCGGCATATTTTTCAATTGTACATGCAGAGTATTTCATGGTGGCTCCCAGTCTCATTCCACACTCTGGGAATTACAGAGACTGCTGTAAACAATATAGCTATGAAGTGGCATCTCCGGTCAGGCAGCAGGCGGGCAGTCATTTTGCTAAAGGAGGGCCTTCCCAGCTCAGCACTCAGTTACCTGGCTGGTATTCAAGGGCTGGCTAGGAGCAGCGCTGCAGCACTGGAAGAGATAAGAATGCTTGGGTGTGTCCAAGAGGAACACTTCTTTCTTTTCCTCTTCAGTTCAGTATTCACAAGTTACTGTGTGTGGAGTGAATTACACTCAAGTGTAGGGGACATCCAGTGTAGATCAGCAGGGCATATTCTGTCTCTAGACTTCATTTCACCCTGGGGCCACTGACGTTTTGCAGGTTTACCTTTGAACTAAGAGCTCTCCCTACAGTCGCCCTCTGCCTTTTGGCTGTTGTTGGTCAAGAATGGAATCATTTTCCACTTGGGAAACAGTGTGTGCATGGACAGCCGAGCTATATGCTGTTCCCTCTGAGGCCAGAGCCATGCCCTGCAGTCATGAGTGTTTGGTTCCTTGCAAGTCTGTGAGTAGGACAAGGCCAGGGAGGACTGGAGCAGGGTTTGCCCAGCAGGTGTGACCCTCACTTCTGCACAGAGGTATAGGAGTGTGATGTGCCTGTGCCTCCTGTCCACCCAGCCCAAGCGCATGCTATTTGTGGCAAGACTTCTCACACAGCACTGCTGAACTTGGTGTCTGACTGCTCTGTGCTGTCTGGGATGACTGCCTTCAGGGCTGCATGGCAAAAGCGGTTCAGGGCTGGCATGTTTGTCTTCTGCTCAATATACAGCCTCAGCTTGTCCCTGAAGGTTTCCCCGAGGAAGCTGTAAATGAGGGGATTCAGGCAGCTGTTGGAGAAAGCTGCAAGGTTGACGATGTGGCCGGTCAGAGGGTAGGCATGGCGGAAGGACTGTTTGCAGGGAGCAGCCCCTGGCTGTGTCCGCTGCAGGAGGTGGACACTGATGAAGACATTCTCTGGCAACCAGCAGATGAAGAAGACCAGGACCACAGCGAAGATCATGCGGAGGGCCTTCTGCCTGCGGGGGCGCAGACCTCGGTGCCTGTGAGCCTTGACTAGGACTCGGACGATGAGGGAATAGCAAAGCCCTATGATGGCAAAGGGCACAATGAACCCCAGGGTGACCTCCAGCCACTGTACTTCCTTGACATCTGCAAAGCAGAAACAGGCCTCCTCAGTGTGCTGCAGGTGGACAGCTGTGAAGGGCACTAGGGTGGCTGAGACAGCAGCCATCCAAATGAGGCCACAGCTCAGCCTGGCACGGTGCTTTGTGCGGAAGAGGCTGGAGCGCATGGCCTTGGCCAGCGCAATGTACCTGTCAAAGCTCATCCAGGTGAGGAAGAAGACGCTGCTGTACATGTTGATCTGCAGGAAGAGAGACATGAAGGTACAGAGCACAGCGATGTCATAGTACTGCTCATCCAGGTTGAACACCTCGATCAGGGAGTCGGCCACCAGGATAAGGTCTGCTGCAGCCAAATTGATGAAGTACAGGTCTGGAATTGTCATCTTTTCACGGAAGCTAATGTTCACCACCAGGATCAGGATGTTCCCCACAAAGCCGATGGGGAAGAGGAAGATGGTATACAGGCAGGAGAGGAAGAGGCCAATGATGTACTGCTGGTGCTCAGAGAGCTCACCCGTCTGGTTTGCCAGGGCAGCACCAAGCAGCAGCTGGGACAGGTTGAGCTCCGCGGAGGTGCTGTTGGAGGCTCCCGGCTGCACGGTTCCTGGGTAGATCTCCACACCCAGGATGTGGACCAGGGGAGTCACATCCATGTCTTTACCACGCCACTTTCAGGATTTGCCAAAAGGGTCACAGAAATCTGTTTTAAACAATGGCTCCATCTTTAGAGAGGAAGGTGATTCTCTTTGAGTAAAGGCAGGCGTTTGTATCACAGGAAATGCTGTTACAGGGAGCTCTGTGATGGTTTGGGTCTGTCAGCTGCAGAAGCTGAAAGAGCAGGTAGAGTTGGTCTGCGGCAGCATCTGCTGGGCACAGCAGCTGCATCCTCAGAGTCTGGGCACCTGGGAGAGCAACAGGACAGGATTAAGGCTTGTTGTGTAGCCTGGCCTTCCAATGCAGCCACACTCTGGTGGATCCCACGAGCACTGAGGGAAGGCAGCACTCTTGGCTTTATTGCTTTGGAGTGAAGCTCAAATGAATGTGGAAAATCTGCTTTCTCTGCTTAGGGCTCCTGGAGTTGCCTGGTTTAAGTTGGAGAAGGTGGCTATGACTCATCCCCCAAAGCAGTGGGTGACAGATAGCGGCGTACAGAGTAGAGTGAACGCTGGGCATGGGAACCCTAAGGAAACTACCGTTTGTCAGCACAGGAAAGAAAATTTATTTCAATCACTATTGGGAAAGAAATAGCATGGGAAGGGAAAATCCGAGCTTAGTGGATTCACAAAACTTGGTAGAATGGCTTTGCTGTATAAAACATTTTGGAGAAGTGGGGTGAGCAGGCAACCCACTTTCTGGTCCCCCTTCTGTCTTTCTTAGAAGCTTTTTTCCCTCAGTAAATTTTTCCTACTCTTAAAAAAAAAGAAAGAAAATTTGGTAGAATCAGAGGAGCCTCTCAGAGTACAGTAGGCAAAATAAATCTAGCTTTTTCTGTAATACTAGTACTAAGCTTATGTGCCTCAAGTGAAGCTTTCAAAATATAAAAATGAAAGACAGAATAAGGATAAAAACAGCCAAGAAATACTGTTAATTGGGCATAATTGTGCATGTCTGTAATCCCCTATGCTCAGTAACTGAGGCAGGAGGATTGCTTGAGTCTAGAAAATTGAGGACAGCCTGGGCAGCACAGAGAGAACTCATCTCAAAAAAGAAGAGGGAGGGGGGAGAAAGAAAGTTTAAAATTTTATTCCATGTTATAACAGTGTAAAATCTAATGTATTTTAAGCTGGTATGGTGGTGTACACCTATAATCCTAGCTAGTTGAGAGGCTGGGGTAGGAGGATCGTAACTTTGAGGCCAGTCTGGGTAACACAGTGAGAACCCCCCACCTCAAACCCCCAAAACAATTTTAAAAATTTTTGTAATGCAAAGCCAGGTGTGGTGGCGCACGCCTATAATCCCAGCACTTGGGAGGCTGAGGCAGGAGGAGCGCTGTGAGTTCGAGACAAGCCTGGGCTACATAGTGAGTTCCAGGTCAGTCTCAACTACATAGTGAGATCCTGTCTCAAAAAACAAAACAAAACAAAAAAATTTTGTAATGCTGTTTTAACCTAGAAACTGGGTTTTCCTCAGTGTTTGTTTGCAATGGGGAGAGGCCGTGGACATGGACATGGGCTTCTCGTCACCTGAGGCACTTGATTTGTCCTGGACTTCTCTGTGGCACAGCCAGGGTTCTTAGGAGTGTTGGCAGTCTCTGGAGGCACTAAGTCATCACATCTGGGCTGGTTGCTGACATCTAGTGGGTAAGACCAGAAATTTTGCCCCGCCTCCCCAAGTGCACAGGATGACCCCTCCCCAGCAAAAGATTTTACCCTTTGAGATCATTAGGAATGATTGTGAAATGGTGCAAGGGCAGACTAGGGATTTATTGACCCATCTCTCAAAAATACTAGTTTAGGAAAAAAAAGGAAGCTGGGGATTTATTTAGTTCAGTGGCACTGTGCCTGCCTCGCAAATGCAAGGTTCTGAGTTCAAACCCCCATAACAAAAAAGAAAAGGAAAAAAAAAAAAAAGAGGGAAGGCCAGCTTACTGCCTAGTGCCAGCAGCCATTCTGAAGGTGTTCCATCACCTGCTCTGAGCTGGGAAAGTGAACTTGATTATTTTGGCTACTTTGTTATCTATTTTGTATTCCATAGACACTACCAGTTCAAGCAGTATAAATGTCACTATTCTAAGGGTCTATCTGCTAGGTCTGTATTTAATATCTTTTTTAAAACTTCCCTGCCTTCTAGTTTGCTCTTAAAAGTGTTGGGAAGCCTGGAGCGTCTCAGGTGGTAGCACAGGGGCAGTTTCAGGTGAGCAGACCCTCAGCCATGAACTTACAAATATAAAGTTGCACACTGACCAGTTTGTTTCTTTTTCTGCTTGTCCTGACCTAGGCAGAGGTGGCCGTACTTCTGTCAGGTGTACCGGCCCATGTCTTCCTAAAGCACTCTGGCTTGGCAGGAGCACTGCGTCACAGTACAAGGCAGAGCCTCAAATGAGACATTCTGGCTTGAACAGAGCTGGCAGAATGCTGGACTGGGACTGGATAAAAGGCGCTGCTCTCCCTAGGGCACCTCATGCTGTTTCAGCCACAGAGCTGCCACTGTGGCCAGACCCCAGAACAGGAGAAGCTTACCTGGGTCAAAGGCGGGGCCTCCTGAGCCATGTGGGATCTGGTCAGACCCTTCTCGTGTTCCCCACCTTCTGCAGTTGCTGGAGGTACACTTGGAATTTGTCTGCAGCGATGAAATCCTGGACCTGGGACCCTGTCAACAAGGCTGATCATGGGAGTAGCAGGAGAGACAGAGAAAAAAAAGCCCTGTCTGGGAAGTCTGGTGGGAAGGTTCCCCAGGAAGCCTGTGGCTGCTGGAGGCGTAGTCTGGCCCCCTTGGCGTTGGGCCGGCTTTATAGGCTCCCAGGGCCCTTCTTATTGGGCCTGGCCACCTCCCTTTAAGGCCAACATTAACCATTTTTTTGCTGGCCTCTTTTCTTCCGTACTTTGTCAATGAGCTCAGCGCCACTATGGAAGTTTTCAGGGTACCTGCTTTTCCTCTTTTCTTTTTTTAAATTTATGGGAATTATAATAGATACTGTTTATATTTTAGATAATGGCCTAGCATCATTTGTTAAAATAAGCAATACTATTCCTGCTTGTATTAGCACCTTAATGATTTTAAAACTAAATACTGGATTTTATAAGGTAACATAGTATGTAGATAATACATGAAGAAAATTTCACCAAAAATATTTTAGAAAGTAACCTAAACCCATGAAATAGCAGATATTTTGGCAAGAAATTCAGATTCCCAGTTGCTTTGTTGGTATATTACTTAATCTTGCTTCCCCTCCTTTTGCTCTAGAAACTGATTTGTACCTGTCTTCTGGGTTCTGGTGGTGAATGGAGAAGGCACTTGGCCTCTCCACAGCCACTTCCTTTGGTGCTGCCTACCCTGACTTGTGCCGGCCTGAGCTGGCTGCCATCTCTCCCCTACTGCTTGTTGGGTCTTTACCTTCCATTTGTTTGTTTGTTTGTTTGTTTGTTTAGGGTTTTTTTTTATAGACAGTCTCACTATGTAATTCATGCTGGTTTTAAACTCACTGTGTAGCCCTGGCTGGCCTTGAACTTTCAGGGATCCTCCTGTTTCAGCCTCCTGGGACCTGGGTGTGCCACCACACCTGGCTGTGCTGCACTTTGGAGAGAAGCTGGTCACCCTGGGGCAGAGACCAGTCCCAGACTTGAATATTCAGTCCCTGGCACTGAGCTGCCCAGCTGAATTATTTGGTTTTCATAAAAATTAAATTTTAATTGATCTCATTTGTACTTTCTTTCTGATGTTTTTGTTTAATTTGTCTTTGTTTTGCTTTGTTGGCTTTCTGGGTTGGGGTTTTTTTGTGGGGGGTACTGGGGATTAAACCCATGGCCTTTACACTGAGCTACATTCCCAGCCTTTTTTAAAAATTTTTCAAAGGCCAGGGATTTAGCTCAGTGGTTCCACCACCTGCTTCGCAAGCTCAAGGTCCTGAGTTCAATCCCCGGTATCAAAAAAAATTTTTTTCAGAGAGAGTCCCATTAAGTTGCCTTGACTGGGCTCAAGCTTAAAATCCTCTTGCTTCAGCCTCCCACAGTGCTAGGATTGCAGGTGTGAACCACAACACCCAGCTTCTTTTACCCTTTGATGTTTTGAAGCTATGAGTTTGGACACAGAATCATCTTTTATGTGCTGAGCATGAACATACCAGATTACTTCAGCCCAAGGACAGGTGGACATAGCATGTGCTCCTGCAAAGACCACTGCAGGCTTAGAGGGGTGGGTGTCTGTACCCAGGATGCGGGCAGTCACCTGGTCACTTGCTGCTCTTGGAGTTTTCAGTTTCATGGTAAACAAGTGTGCTTTAAAGCATTCTGTATGATACTGATTTGAAGTCTTACAGATCTGTGTTTTCGGACTGATACAGGTATTTTTAAACACAGAGTATGGTATTAAATTTTTTATGGAAAAGTACCAACATTCAGTATTCTTCCAGCTGTAGAAATTCTGACTCTTACTATATATAAGCTTTTCTTATTTGAGGGGCATGGTAAAGGGCGGATTGGCTCTTATACATCTTTTGACCAGCAGTGACACCAAGATGATTTCAACATTAAAAATGCCCATTTCACCATTTTGAAAGAAGTCACAAGTACAACTTCCTCTTAAATTAAATAAATAAAATAACGCAAGCTTTGAAATAACCAATGCATGTCACATAAAAAGAGCCATTCCCTGCTCTTGCTCACTCACAGTTTAGGGCCTCGCCGCCTGTCGGAGAGGTGAGGGACTGCAGGCCCCTCAAGGCCCTGAACCTGCTGCTCCCATTTGCTGATGGGTTTGCACAGGGTCGTCAAGTGGCAGATGCTCTGGCTTTGAGCTCTTGATACAGGACAGGCCACTGCCCTTGAGGCACTGAATAGTTCGCTGGTTGAGTGACTCGTCAGATCACATAGCTGCCTCATTCAAGGATGGGACCCAGCAGGAGGGACTTCAGTTCTGTGACCCTCATATTGAAGTGAGGGTGAGAGCGGTCTTGTGGAAGTTTCTGGAAAGCCTAAGAGTTTCTGTCACTTTTAGCCTGGCATTCAGTGAGGGCCTCCTTGTGCTGTCCTTCACAGTGGAATCCCTCCTCAGAGCTGTAGCTGGCTCTGAGCTACTGTACACTAGTGCAGGACTGAGCCCCCAGGGTTGCAGCATGAGCAGCCACCACCAGGACAAGCCTGGATCAGCCATGTGATAGCCATTTTCCTTAGAACCTTGGCCTCCACACTACATTATGGTCATGTCCTAAGGCTTTCCCATTGTGGTGATGATGTCATTATGGATTTTCAGAGAAGGTAACATGTATTTCTGTCCATCCCAGGATGGGATAAATCGAAGTGGAAAGAACTGAAAGGGAGTCCAGTTGGACCATTGCGTTCCATTAGGTTTATAAGAAGCCAGATACTGGATAACACATAGAGAACAAATACCAGTAAGATAAGGTAGTGTGTGCTTGGCCCAGAAGCCCTGGCCAGAGGCATGCCCACCCCCTTCCCTCTCCTGTCATACACACAGCCAATTTCTCTGAGACAGTCCATCATTCCACCAGCTCTACTACATGTCTCCTCCCCATTTTCTCCCTCTCTATCTTTCTCACTTGCCTGTCCTCTTCAGTGGCATGGGAGCTGTCCCCATACCTGTGGTTCAGGGTCCCTCTCCTTCCTGTGGCAACCTAAAGCCCTGAGGCACAGTACCATGGTCCAAGCAAGCCTAGTGTGTGCCATGGCCAGAGTCTTTCTTTCTTTTTTTTTTTTTTTTTGAGACAGGGTCTTGCTATGTAGTTGAGACTGACCTGGAACTCACTATGTAGCCCATGCTGGTCTCAACTCACAGCAATCCTCCTGCCTTAGCCTTCCAAGTGCTGGGATTACAGGCATGCGCCACCACACCTGGCCCAACCCCTTTCTTTATAAAGAATGATACCAGGGCCCAGAGAGGTTGAGAACTGTGCAGGACACCCAGCAATGAGGGCCAGGGTAGGATTGTGTCCTCCTGGGTCTGCACCCATACAGACTCTTCTCCTGTGCCATCTTCCATTCTGGTGTCAGACACTTGTCTCCCTGGGTGCCAGCCTGTCCTTCACCTCAGGGCATTGGCATATGGAGCTGGCAGCCAGCACCTAGAGGAAGGAGGACGCTTTGGGCGTTTCCTGCCACACATACTTAGACTTCAGGCCTGGCCTGGCCCGTGCATGGAGGCGAGCATCTTTGTGTGGCAGGGTCCCCCAGATATATGTGGGGTGTGCGCAGCACAGATGGCCTTCCTCACCATCCAGGCCGTTTCCTAGAGAAGGTAAAGCTCTGCAATTTGATTGTGCTGTGTTTTCTGGCATGAGAAGGAATTTATACTGCCCAGAGGTTGTCTCAGCCTCCGCCCTGCAGCACCAGCAGGGAGCAGTCCTGATGGCTTCATGGGTGTTGACTTTTTGGACAGCTGACTCCTCTCTGTGGTTGCTGGGAGCGTCCTGGACACGTCCTCTTAGTTCTTTGAAAGTGATGGCAACCAGAACTTGGTGTGTGTAGCTCGCAGAAGTGTGGGCAGTTGATGCCCTCAGCACTCTGCTTGGGGAAAGTGTTGAGCTCCAAGAAGTATTCTTGGGTGGGATGCTCCAGAAGGAGGAACTCATGACCTGTTTCCTTGACCCAGCTCCACCTTCAGTGACCACTAGGGTGTGTTCCTTTGAGAGCCCATATAGGCTCCGGTGAGTCTCCCCACTCCCATGATTTTTCTCCTTTGAAATTAAGAGTTCACACAGCCATCCTTTAGATGAAAGTGTCTGCTCACTGCTGGAAACATACTTTGAGATGGTTTCTTAGTTTACTGCTGATTTTGGATCTTTCTCTGGTGCCTTGTCTTTGGTGTGTCCAGACCTTTGTAACAGGAAGAGTAAGTGGCCAGGTGTAGGGACAAGGTCAGGATCCAGGCAGTACCAGCCCTGTCTCTGTGGGGTTTGCCTGGAGCTTTGTGTCCTGGGTCCCTACAGAGGAGACCTTTTCAGGATCTGGGGTCCCTGTGGATAAGCCACTGGTAGTGTCTGAAGTCCTACAAAAGGACCTTTAGTGGGGTCTGGGAGCCCTGTGGAGGGGGCTCTTGTTGGGCCCCGTGGTCTCTTGTTGCTCCTGCCCCACCCCTGTTTGGAGCAGAAGCTTTTTTAATGTTTCATATTGGGACCCCTTATAAGCCTTTTTAAAAGACAGGATCCTACTGTTTAAGAACTGCCAGTGGACATTTTTGTGGTCAGTTTTCTAAAATTAGTCCTTTGACTGAATTACTCAGGAACTCAGTATAGCTGGGGACTCCAGGCTCGTCCTGTTTCTCTTCCCATCCTGGAATCAGTTGTTTCTGCAAGAAGCTCAAACACGGGAGCGTTTCATGCCCCCTGACTGATTCTGAACTACGAGCTGTTGGCATCTGTTGTTGGAGGGTACTTAGAGACTACCTTAGAGGCTTCCTCTTCTGCATGAGTGGTCTGGCCAGGAGCCTCTAAAGCTGGGTGCACTATACAGATCAACTGTTTGCAGGTGCTGAGGTGACAGGCACACAGGCCTGCGAGCCAGGGCTCTGTGCTCCTAGCTGCTTATTTGAGGCTGTCTTCATCCACAGCATAGATCATGGATCCAAGCAGAGCAGGGCTAGCTAGAAAAGCTGAGGGGACAACACTTGGGTGTCTGGGAGGCTGAGAAGGTAGAGGCTTTAGAATGCAGTACCAGGAGAGGACATACCATGGTGAGAGAGAAGCCCAGAATCTGGATGGCAGTCTACTGGGCTTTGGCCAATTTGCACATGTGTAGGGTGAGGACTCACAGGGTCAGTCTGAGAGCAGCTAATGGTCTGTGTTCCCACTCTCTCCAGCCAAAGTACAGAGCCATCGTGGAACAGGTACGTACTAATTCTGCTTTCTGTTGCTATAATAAGATACCTGAGGCTAGCTGAATTGTAAA